TATCCAAGAAGGAGAGTCTTGGGAAAAATGTGCAACTAACATTATTGAGAGAGGGTTTTTTTTTTTTTTTTCAGGGCTGTTGATGGATATGAGAAGATTTAACAAGCTATTCAAGAAAAAATAGTCAAAAAAAATTGAAGCAGAACTTCAGGAAAAACAAAAAATTGTATAGGAAAGATCATGTAATCATGTCTACCATTTCACATAATCATAATTTTAAAAAATATTTATTTATTTTTATTTGAAAGTCACAGTTACATGGGGGGGGGGAGAGTCTTCCATCTGATGGTTCACTCCCCAATTGGCCACTACGGCGGGAGATATGCCGATCCGAAGCCAGGAGCCAGGAGCTTCCTCCAGGCCTCCCATGCGGGTGCAGGGTCCCAAGGATTTGGGCCATCCTCTACTGCTCTTCCAGGCCATAGCAGAGAGCTGGATTGGAAGAGGAGCAGCCGGGACTAGGACCAGCGTGCGTATGGGATGACAACACTTCAGGCCAGGGTATTAATCCATTGCACCACAGCGCCGGCCCCACATAATCATAATTTTTGAACTCACTAAGAAATCATATTGGGAGGATGGAGAAAGGGAAGTGTGGCCTTGACCCATGAGGTCTACACTGCTGGGATGGTGGTACAACAGTCAAGAAGCACCGGGGACAAGTTTCAGTGAACATGTCTGCTTTATTAGTGACCAAGCACACCTTTAAAAGGGCAGGCAGAGGGGGCGTAGCTAATTCAGGGCAACACTAATTCTATATGATGGAGCCGGTATTGGCGCTGCTATGCTTCTCCAATCAGCTTGAAGGTCACGTAACTAGGGTAGCTTTCCAGGTGGGCCTGGAAAGCAGTTTACCTGATTGGTGGGGGGGTGGGGGAAATGTGCCTGGGGCTCCCGGCACCTGCAAGCAGTCAGGTTGTGGGGTCCTTCCCGAGAGGCCTGGTGTGCCATGCCCCCTCAACCTCCTGCATGGGCAGGGCAGGCGGACTCCCCGCCAGGTACAGGATCACTCACAGGGAAGTAGACTATGAAGAAGTCAGACTTCTCAGGCAGCATCATGGAAAGTCAGTTTATTACCTCAGAGGGACAGACTAAGATGCAGTAATGCATTTGCATTATTTGGAAATGAGTACCTCTGGGAGTGTTTGTGTGGGGGCAGAGGTTGTAGGACAAGGGGCTTTTTTTTTTTTTTTTTGACAGGCAGAGTTAGACACAGAGAGAGATAGAGAGAAAGGTCTTCCTTCCGTTGGCTCACTCCCCAAATGGCTGCAATGGCTGGAGCTGCGCCAATCCGAAGCCAGGAGTCAGGTGCTTCTTCCTGGTCTCCCACAAAGGTGCAGGGGCCCAAGCACTTGGGCTATCTCCTACTGCTTTCCCAGGCCACAGCACAGAGCTGGATTGGAAGAGGAGCACCCGGGACTAGTCCGGTGCCCATATAGGGTGCCGGCGCTGCAGGCAGAGGATTAACCTAGTGCGCCATGGCGCCAGCCCCAGTATTTTAAGTTTTAAGATTAAAATTGAGTGAGACAAATTCCAATGCTAAAAGTTTTATAATTTAGTTGGGTAGGTATATTGGTAAATACCTATTCACAACACAACATGAAGAGTGCTACTTTAGGGGCACGTGTAAAGTTGTTTGAGACCATAAAGGAAATAGAGGCAAACCTTGTTAGGGCTGGAGTTGGCAAAGGCTGATCTTAGAAATGAGTGTGGCTTAGAATGCTTGTGCCCCAAACTGGAGTGCTCAGGTTCAATTCCTGGTTCTGGCTTCTGACTCCAGCTTCCTGCCAATGCAGATCCTGGGTTGCAGCAGTAATGGTCAAGTACTTGGGTTTCTGCCACTCATAGTGCAGGCATCTGGGGAGTAAACCAGTGGATGGGATTTCTCTTAAATCAAAAAGATAAATGAGTGTTGATGGATAAGTGGCTTTGGCTAATCAACCACATAGGAAAAAGCAGTCTAGATAGAGAAGATCTTGATGCACAAGTTCAGCTGTCTGTGAAAATGTAAGAAGCGTAGGGTGGCTTTAAAGCAGGCAGTGAAGTGGGGGACGACCAGACGTTAGCCTAGAGTGGGGGACAGGGGAAGGTCTTGGAGGGCCTTGTGAGTCACACTGAGGGGTTTGACATGCAGGTTTCCCCTAACGGGTGACACATCAGATGCATGTCTAGAATGATCACAAAAGGCCCTGGGGGAGCGAGGGGAAGACCACATTCAGGGTGCAAGGCTGGGGAAGGGAGGCTCATCAGAGAAGAGGCAAGGGTTGAGAACTATTTTGAAGTCTGAGCCAGTGACAGGTCAGAGTCACTGGATCCTCTCATGACGTCCACTCATTCTGCAGACATTTATCATGTGCCTTCTCTGAGATACGAGGCATGATGCTGAGTACAGCATGGTCCCTGCCCCAGGGGAGCTTTCTGTGTGGTGGGAGTGGAGAATGAATCCACAGAAGCCAGAGCGGTGATGCTCTAACTCCAAGGGCTTGAAGAGCAAGAGGTTGGGTTGGGGGCATCACTGAGTGTGCTGTGCTCACCATTGTGGGGGTGTTGAGCTGCCCAGAAAAATCAGGGCTGAGAAGGGAGAGAGCGGACCCCTCTGTGACTGTGTAATTGGATGCCACATGCTTGCAGGCTGGGCAGTACTGAAGCCGGGGAATCCAGAGGGGAAAATGTGGAGAAGACAAAGAGGAGGTCCGATCCCAGAAAGACACAAGAAGGAGCTGCCAAGGAGGGAGAACCCAAGGTGGGTGGAGCTGATGGGGCTGAAGGAGGAGTTCTGGAAGGAATGAGCCACTGCAAAAGATGCTGCTGAGAAAGTGGGTAGCAGGCTGAGGGGCCCCTGGAGGAGGTGGTTAGGTGGGCATCGGTGAGCTTGGAGTGGCCCTCCAGACACTGTGGGGTGTGGACGGGAGGTGATGAGGACACAGAGGAGGAGGAATATGGCTCTCCCCTTCAGATCTGTTAGGAAGTGAAGAGATATACCATGGAGCTAGAGAGAGCGAGAGCGAGAGAGGTGGGCTTCAAAAAGATGTCACCTATGAGATGCAAAACATACCTGCAAACAGAAGGGATCTGCTTCCTTGGGGCATCACCAAGTAATAAGCCTCGAGGGACAGCCTTTCTCTCTCTTTTTTAAAATTTACGTGTGCTAAGTCAAACAGACAGTGGGAAGGTATAGTCAGCTACAGAAAGAAGGATTAGGAGAGTGTCTAGGATGTAAAAGGGAGGGCTGAGGACCCTTGCTGCTTGTGGTATGCACTTTTATACATAGTGTGTTCAAAAGTCTTACTCAGACTGGGTCATTGCAGCTTTCCTGGTGGGGTCTGGGTCCCTCAGAATACAGTGTTGCAAGGTAAGCTTTCCTGGAACAGCCTCTGACAAGGTCAAGGGAGTCAACTGGGCAGCTTCTCTGTCCTGTTCCGGTGATTCCCTCTGCCTGAGACCCACGCTTTTAGTTAGAAACCCTTGCATGCCTCATCTCATCAGTGTTGGCTACATAATTTCAGGTCCAGTACACACTGGCAACTAGGGGATCTTGTTAAAAAAAATTGTTAAGAATTTCAAGATGGCAACAGCAGAGCATCAAACCAGCTTGAGTCTAAGGTTGTGTATCTGGAGCCCTGACTGGGTGAGGAATCCAGGGTGGAAGAAAGAAGGCTGGATGAGCGGCAGAGCCTGGTCCCAGGGCACGTAGGGAGGGACGGACCCTGGGTCCAGGAGTAGGGCTTTGGGCAGGAAGGAAAACAAGACTCTGATCATCTCCTGGATGGGGGAGATGGAGGATGGCAAAGGACACAGATTGGGGAGGGGGGATGCAATCCAGGGTGAAGGACTTAGGCCAGAGGGGAGGGCACAGGAACCCTGGCAGAGAATCTGAAATTTGCTAGCAGGAGCTTGTGTTTTCAGGGGGTCTTCCAGGAAAGCTCATCTGGCAACATTGTACACAGAGGGGGCCAGACCACCAGTCAACCCAGGAAAGCTGCAAAAAGCCGGTGGGAGTCACTATGTCGCCTGAATAAGAGCCCTGGCTCCTTTCCTACACCCTGGACTGGCCTCTGACGCTGGCTGTAGCAGTGCTGCTCAGGAAGGCAGTTTCTTCATGGGCTGCACCTTCTCATTCTCTCTTCCACTTGTCGTGGTAAAGCTGTCCTTGAGCAGCTCTCCCTGGAGTTTGATTTATTCAGCAATGCGCTAAGTGTAATGCCTGCTGGGTGAACTTCCAGTGCGTGCTGGAAAGAGATTATTAAGTGAACAACCTACAGGCAGAGGAGAGTGTGTGGCATGGGAAGCTACACTGAGCATCTCTGGGGCGTGGAAATAGGTCACAGAGCGGCCCCACTATCAGGAGGCATTTGGCAGATGGGAGCAAGCCAGGGACCCGAAGGCCAGGTGGGGCTGAGGGAGGGGTGTGGCAGGGAGGCTCCTGAGGTGAGGGGTTGGGATCCAAGGTACCACAGCCACCAGAAACGGGGTGGCCAGGACGGGCTGGCCTCCTGGGGAGGAAGGAAATGGACAAAGAATGTGGGAGCCAAGGAAGCTGGGGTTAAAGGAGCAGCGTTCTTGGGAGATGGCGGGGTTGGTGTGGCGCCTTGTTGAGGGGACTCATTCAAAGGGTTAGCAGCAACAGCAAGGAGAGCCGGGTTTGGCGGCCGCGAAAAGAGTCGTGTGTGCTACTGCTGCTGCTTCTCAGACCGGGCGGGGAGAGGGGATTGTGGAGAGGGAAGGACTGCAGATGCAGACGAAGCCGTTAACTCTGGCCTGCGAGCTGCTTTCCAAAGCGGGAGGGACGAGCTGGAAAGACCCGCGTGTTGAGACCGACTGGGTTTTAACAGGGCGTCTTAGACTAGGGCTGGGGAGCCCAGAACCCGGCGCTGCACTGGGCAAGGGGGAGCCGCGGAGTTCTCATCGCAAACGAAGGGGGGCGCCCGCGAGCAGCGCTTGGCGGAGGTGGCCCGGCCGTGAGCCTCCCCTCCGAACCCCTCCGCAATGCCGAGCCGCAGTCAGGGCCCGGGGGCCCAGGCAGCTGGAGAGGCCGTGGTGATGCACAGGCTCAGCTCCCCCCGGGGCCAGGCCTGGCAGCCTCGCCTGAAGCCCCCTAGGCCGGCTTCTTGAAGAACGGCTGCCTGGGCTCGCCGGTTCGACCTCGTCCTTCCCGGTTTCTGTCTCCCCACGGGGAACCTCCCTGTCGCTCTCGCCTGGGCTCCCGGTCGCCGTTGCCACCCCGGCGCCCTCGCCTTCGGGTGCCCCGCTGGGCAGTTCCGAATCCCGGCAGCGGGAGCCCGGCCGCCTGCGCTGCCCTTCTTCGGGGAAGGGTTGCGCCCCCTGCCAGGTGGGGACGAAGCCGGAGGGCGGCCCTGTCTCCGCTTCGTTTCCAACCGGGTTCCCCGAGCTTCGCCGGCTGCCGCTCGGCCTGGGGCTGTGGGGGGCGCGGGCGGCCGGCTCTGCCCGCTGGGCGTTCCCGGCCCCCGGGTGCAGGACAGCGGCCGCCGCGAGAGCTGCTCTCCTCGGCCCTGTCCCAGCGTTGGGTCCCGCTGCTCGGGGCAGCCCGGCCGGCGTCCCCGGGAACGGAGTGGGGAGGAGCCAGCGGGAGCGGGAGGGAGGGCGCTTTCGGCCGCCCCGCCCCCGCCCCGCCCCCGCGGCCGGAGCCCGGGCTGCAGCCCGGCGCGCCGGAGCCCGAGAGCCCGCGAGCCAGCGAGCGGCGGCTGCGGCCTCCCCTGCGCGCCGCGACCCGGGCGTCCGAGCCCGCGGCCCCGCTGATCCCGGGGTCCGCGCCGAAGGCGGCAGGGATGCGCCATGGCCACGCTGGCCTGCCGGGTGCAGTTCTTGGACGACACGGACCCTTTCAACAGCACCAACTTCCCCGAGCCCAGCCGGCCGCCGCTGTTCACGTTCCGCGAGGACCTCGCGCTCGGCACCCAGCTGGCCGGGGTCCACCGGCTGCTGCGGGCGCCGCACAAGGTACGACCCGGCGGGGCAGCCCGGGCCCCCTCAGGGCGCAGCCCCGGCCGCGCGGTCCGAGCCGAGGTGGGGTTGCCGCCGGCGGGCTTGGCTGGGCGCGGCCCCAGGGGATGAGCACCCTAGGGCAGATCCCGCTCCCGGTTAGGTGCAGGGGTCCCGGGCACCCGCTGCCTGGCGCGGGACCCTCGTGGGCCGGCAAGGAGGACAGCCTCACGCTCGGGCAGGGAGCCGGGGGCGGGCGCGGCGGAGCAGGTGCCGTGCCGGCTTGAGGCGGGATGGAGGAGGCTCCGGGTCTCCGCGCCGTTAGCTCCGCTGGGTGGGCGGGGTGGGGCTCGGACGCGGGCACTGGGTCCAGGCACCCGTGGCGGGCGCCGAGAGGGGCGCGGGAAGGACCCCGGCCCCGGAAGACTCGGGTCCCTGGAGGATAGCCCTGAACGACGCCGGGGACAAAAACCCTCGAGGCCTCTGGGGCACTGCGGGCAGCCGCGCGACCCTCGCGACAAAGCGCGCTTCCCGGGGACGTGGCCCCCTCCTCCCGCGCGCTGCGGCGGCGCTCGCCGTGTCTCTTCTTTCTTCGGAGAAGCAGGTGGCCTTGGGAACCCCGAGGAGCCGCGACTGCGGGAGGAGGGGCGGGGGCGCGGAGGGGCGGCGCGCGCACAATGCCGCGGCCTCGCAGCCCCCAGCGAGTGTCCCCTGGGGAAGAATGGCTTCTCAGTCCACTCGTTGGAGAGGGCTTTTTTCCCCCCTCCTCCTTTCTTCTTCTTCTTCTTCTTCTTCTTTTTAACCCTTTGGAGGAGGACAGGCATCTTGCAAAGTATTGGGTGTGGAGAGCAGGAAAACCTACCTCCTGTTTACGGAGACTGCACCTGGGAGACTGACCTGTGTGTGGGGGGTGTTTCTGCGCAGGGTTGCTATCAAAGCGTGGGGGTGATTTGCTCCGTGGGCATCAGCTTGGCCAGTATTTGGAAGAGGCCAGCCTCCAGGCCTGAAGGAACACAATCAATTAAAAAATCCTCACGTTTCTGTGGTGTTCTGCTGCTTTGGAAGCAGAGGAGGGTAGAGGTGTGTGGAAAGCCGAACACTTTGGCGGTGGTGCCGACCCCCCGTAATTAGTGCCCCTCTTAATTAGATACCTGTTTGGGGAAGAGAAGAATGGGAGCAGTTCCCTCTCATTCGGGCCGAGTTGGTGCCGTGTGGATGCGGCGGCTGCACCTGGAAACCTCTGGGTCCTCTCTTGCACGTGGCCTGGAAGCCCGAGGGCCAGAACCCTGGCGTATTATGGATTCAGCGTGCTGGAGTCACTCTTGGAGAGGATTTTCTTCTTCTCCATCGGTGGACTCGGTTGAAAGTTTTCAGAGAGCTGCTTCCACAGCGTGATTATTCCATTCATTGTGGTCTCTGATGACAGTGATCTTCTGTTGGAACCGCAGAAGACATAATTGTGGCCCTGTGACCTTGAAGTGGTTCTCTTGGATTTCAAACCCTATATACGTGGGTTGACCTTTCAAGCTGGGAGCTGAAGTGTGTTTTTATGTTTCCATGGAATGAGCCCCAGAGTTGCGAGCCGGAGCTCCTGGTCTGGCAGATAGAAGTCCTGGTGCCCCACCACTGCCGCCTCCTCTCCGCCCTTGAGCAGAAGCCATTGCATATGAGTTGCTGGTTCTCCTAACAGCTTTCTATGAAGCAGAACTGAGGGCATTTGGTTCCTAGGTGCACATACCTACCTTAAGATGGCTGTTACTTCCCAGCAGAGACTCTGAAAATTGGAAGATCCACCTGTGATGGAAAGAGCTAGTGAGTTGTCGCTCCCCCTCTTCGTGGAGGAACGACACTAAGCCCTGCCTAGGCTTCATATCCGAGTCACGGCACCATTATGTCGCTCCCCCTCTTCGTGGAGGAACGACACAGGACCCTGCGCTATTCTTTTGTCTGCTCGGCCCTCCCTGGGTTTGCTGCTGGTTCTTCCCGGGTTGGCTACCGTCCCTTCCACCTCCGTGGAAGGGCGGTTCCCCCTGCCACTTTCCCCACTTCCGCAGGGGAGCGGCACACCGCCGGCGGGCTCTCTCGGGGGCTGCTCAGGTGTTCCTTCAGATAGATGTTCCTGGTGCATGTTGTCTCTCTCCTCCTTTATAGTCCTCTTCCACCAATCCCAACTCTGCTACCCACACGCCGAGTACGCTGCTCTCCTGCAATCAGGAGCAGGATCAGCTCCTGCAGGTCATCACTCAAGCTGGCGAGAGGCAGCTGTGTAGAAGTTGTTACTCCCTTCTCAGCGCCATATTGTGGGAGAGCAGATGCATAGAATAAGTCTTAATTCCAGTAACTTAGTCTAGTCCGAGTTGCTCCCAGTTGCTCCCCACAGTGAGTTTTTTTTTTTTAATTTTTTTGACAGGCAGAGTGGACAGTGAGAGAGACAGAGAGAAAGGTCTTCCTTTGCCGTTGGTTCACCCTCCAATGGCCGCCGCGGCTGGCGTGCTGCGGCCGGCGCACCGCGCTGATCCGATGGCAGGAGCCAGGAGCCAGGTGCTTTTCCTGGTCTCCCATGGGGCGCAGGGCCCAAGCACCTGGGCCATCCTCCACTGCACTCCCTGGCCACAGCAGAGAGCTGGCCTGGAAGAGGGGCAACCGGTGTGCCGGCGCTGCTAGGCGGAGGATTAGCCTAGTGAGCCGCGGCGCCGGCCAAGAGCTAGTGAGTTTTGAGCATGTCATATATGTTCTACCCCGCACTCTCCATGCATGAACTCACTTAATACTACACAGTTCCAAGAAGTAGAGACTCATCCCTGTTTTCCAGATGAGGAAACGGAGGCAGAGAGCAATGGAATAGCTTGGTTTCTCTGCTGAGGTTGGGGAGCTGAGAATCCAACCAGGCTTGAATGCTTGTATGGCTCTGTGTGGGCCAACTGCATGGCTGTGCCACAAGCCCTGCCTCCGGGCCCCCTATCCATTACCTTGGGCAGTTCATGCCATCACCTTGTGTGCCAGGTCTTTCTTGGCCTGGGGCAGGTGAATGTTCCGAGCATGACTAAGAGCCTTGCAGAATTCCTGGCCTGGTGGAGTTCATAGTCTGAGATGGGAGTTTCTAGTCACTGACCCTGCTGTCTATTAACTTGCAGTGTGGGAGTGGGTGAGTTAGTCCAAGTGCCTGTTACTGATAGGTCTGCCTAGGCCACAGAGGATGCTTCTCCCAGGCCCCACTGAGTCTGAGCTTGGCAAGAGGGAAGCTTCCTTGGTGGTGGTGGGGCATTCTGGGTGGTAAAAAGAAGGAAGAAACTTGAAGGTGGAGCATGCAGGACTCTGAGCTGCCTTGTGCATTACAGTCCCCTGGGGAGTACCTTTTTTTATAGATTTTTTTTTTATTTGACAGGTAGAGTTATAGACAGTGAGAGAGAGAGAGAAAAGTCTTCCTTCCATTGGTTCACTCCCCAGATGGCCACTACGGCCAACGCTGGACCCATCTGAAGCCAGGTGCTTCTTCCTGGTCTCCCATGCGGGTGCAGGGCCCAAGCACTTGGGCCATCCTCCTCTGCACTCCCGGGCCACAGCAGAGAGCTGGACTGGAAGAGGAGCAGCCAGGACTAGAACCTGGCGCCCATATGGGATGCTGACACCGCAGGCGGAGGATTGATCAAGTGAGCCACAGCAGCGCTGGCCCTGGGGAGTACCTTTTGATTGAAGTAGATCACACATACAGAAAAGCGTTTAGGGCATAAGCCTGCAGCTGGCTGAGTTTTTACAAAGTGAACATACCTGTGTGAGTAGCCCTGAAGGTCCCCTCACAGGGCCCTAAGTTTTTAAGCTTCCCCAGGGATTTTCCTGTGCTGGGAACCTTTGAACTGGCCTTTCCCACTGAAACATGAGTCTGGGAGTTTTCCCATAACCTGATGACGTATTAGTGTAGTTCATGTTCGCTGACTCCCTTAGAAGTTGTCCATTTAATGAAACTTCTTGTTTTGGACAAAACCAATGTATTATACTTCTTATGCTTTATCTCCCCCCCTCCCAACCTTCAAGTTGGCAAATTGAAAAAAAAATGCAACAGGCTTTTCATGACAGCTCAAGGGAGGACGTTCAACACATCATGGGTTTGGTGGCAAAGGTCAAAGCAGGTGCCATAGTCTCACTAGGGAGATGCTGCTTTGGGTGGATGAAGTCAGTCCTTCTGTCTTTGCTTTCAAAGTGCTGCATCAGCAGATGTTTATTTCTGGCTAAGCATTTGCAAAGAAAAAAGTAATCACAGAACTTCTAATTTAGAGAAAACTCTGCATGAAAATTAATAGAATCACAATCCTTTCAAAGCTTAATGTGTGTTGGATTGATTGACACCAAAAGCATGTCAGGACTTTAGGGTTCTTTATTCCCTTTGATAGACAAAACTGGAGTTGTAGACTATTTTGATAACATAAATGATGGCTAGTGTTCATGTCAGTGACTTACGATGTCATACTTTAATTCAGGAACTTGTTTCCTTGCCTGCTGTGGGCTGAACAGAGTGGAATTACAGCTGCTTTGTCCCAGGCACTTGCTTGAACCAAGAACTGTCCTAGACACATGTTACCTCACCAAGGTTGTGACCATCCCAGAGGCAGGTTTCTGGTGATATTGGCCTTTTTTTAGTAGGAGAGGCCAACTTCCGAAGGAAGTCGCTTGGTCACTGCAGTGCAAAGTTCCCAAGCTGGCATTTGACGGCAGGGCTAGGCACTGAACTCCACGTCTGTGTCCTGGGTGTTCTCCCTCCAGCCGCTCTGTCCTCGTTCCAGCCTGCCTCCCCACGTGCCACTGGCCGTGTTTACTCCTTCCTCGCTACCTTGGTGTTTGCCATTACCTCGCTGCCCCA